TACTTTTAATGGTTGATTTTATTGAAGCGCATATGGTAGAACATGCGATAAAGAGCAGAAATCGCTGATCAAATGTAGCATTTAGATCGGTTTTTAAATATTTCCAATGGATAACAAATTGCTTGCAAACTTTTTAGGGCGTTTTCCCGTTAATTAAATAAAATACAATGAGGTTTTGGCAAGAAAATTCCATTAAATTGTGCAAAATTCACATAAAGCTAGTAAACGAAATTAAAAATACATTTATTAGGAACAAAGAAGGTCTGTAGAAAAAAAAATTATCAATAATTCACGTGCTTCAGAATATGTGTATTCAATTTCCGCGCATTCAACTTCAAAGAGCTTCAAATATTTTAAGAAAATTTAGTTATTTGTATATAACAATTATCTTCTTTTGCTTCGTACATCTTTTCACTCCAGATTGTGACGTTTTTCAAGAATGCGTAAAATCGCTTACCTCAATATTTCGTGAAGCTTTTATGTCCCAAACCATTTTTAAAGCAAATAATTATCAAACCTATATTTTTTGTCTAATCTCAGATTTTGCTTTTCAGTTCTCAATTTAATTCTCTAATAGACTCTCTTTTAGTTTTATTTAAGAAACTGCCAAAAAACTTCTGTGTTTAGGAGTTCACTTTACAATTGGAATAATTGAAATGAAAACCACGCAACATTTGCCGTAACGTAATTAGTTAAACACTAACAGAGTAATTTCAAATAGAAGATAAAAGTGCAATAACACAATAGTGGCCATTAAACCTCCTTTGCTCCTCGCTGGGTTGCCTTTAATATGCACTGTTTATTGCTCGAAAGTCTATTTTACTTGCATATTTCTAATTTTATGCATATTATATTATACGGCAAAATACGATGGTAGTAAAACCGTATTAAAGCTTAATATTTTAACAAGAATTATAATAAAGTAGGGAGATGCGTGTTATAGGGAAATAAAGCGATGGAAAAGTGAAACACTTTATGAGGTAGGTGGTGTCGTGCCGGTTTTTATTCATTAATGTTTCTCGCATTTTGCGTATTCTTCCCGATGGAGATTTTAAATGCCCGGCCATTGTTCGAGAGGGGTTTGGGTAATTTATCTTGCTTCCAACATACATAAAATTTTTCAATTGACTCAATTAAAAAAATGAAAGGAACTTTTTCCTCATTTTTTCCCCATTTTTTTTTTGGTTTCCTGCAAGGTTCTTTTGACGCATATTATAAAGATTATCCATTTATTTTTCGCCTGCTTTTTTCATGCTGAAATTAATAAAGGTGTGTAAAGTGTCACGTTTTTTTCTGAAACAAATCATGTAAAGGCAGGAGACGAGAGGAAAATTATAAGGTACAGGTGGGACAAGCGACAAAAACATTTTATGCGTAAATCATTGCTCTAACCCAAAATGAAGCGATACACGTTACAAATTACAAGTGGCAAAAAATTAAAATTTGCCAATATTTCTGGCCACACCTTCCAAGATATTTTGGTGTTCAACTTATATGTTATTTTCATTTTTTTGTATTAAATTCACAGATTCGAAAGATAAATTAAAAATTCGATCTAAATCTGAGAATGTTTATTGTAAATACGAGAGAAACGTAGTCAATCGATCACGGAAATAGATAACTATCTGGAAGTAAAGTTCGCCAAAGGTTTAATTAATTTATTTTTTTTCGCGACAGCTTCACTAGCTTCAAATCTAGTAAGAAAGCTAGTCAAATTCTTTTGCGATTAACCAGACAATTTTTGAGGAATTATACTGGGCGTTTAAACAAAGCCGTCTTCAGTGAAATTTTGAGCAAAAATGTTTGATAAATTATTGGTATTTTTAATTACCAAGCGATTTTTACTAATAAATCCAGTTTTCAAATATCTGCTTAAGTACTGCACTCTGCACTCTCATTTCTTCAGTGTCTGATCAAATCCGCACAAAGTTTACTTAAATACATTCAATAATTAATTAATTGTTATGTTTACAGTTTAACGTCACACACTCAATCACAAATAATAAAACAACGTCAAAGATACAAACTGTATCTGATCCATTTTATATCTCAAGAGCCCTTCAGTATGTCTGAGTGTATAAGTTAATAATATTTTGAAATCGGATTACAGCTACAACACATTAGTGGAGCTGATAAAAAATATCCTAGACCTGGAATGTGGCTAGAACCTTGCTGTTTTAAGTATCAAGGGAGATTGCACGTTATTCAAACACACCTATCGTTGATAACTTAACAGTTCTCGTTAAAGTAACTTAAAATGTTTTTAAAAAATTATTATGCTACATTAAGGAAACCTTGTTTAACTGCAGCTGTTTACCGAAAAACCTGGTAAAGAAATAAAAACCTATGAGTGGAACAAGGCTAACTCATAAACACGTGTATTAGACAGAACCCCAAGGTGTTAAAGCATTGCGATTCCGTTGCATGTTTTCTCCTTCTAATAGACTCATTCCGCAAATCTATCTTGTTGCACTCACACATTCTTTGATAAGAACAATGTGTCTGCCACACCACCATATAAATGTGCGTTGACAAAACCATAAGGCAATTAAATCGCTCTTGTGTGGTTTTCTGTAATTACATTGTAAGAATAGGGAAAAAATGTATGGGTAATTAGGACTTCACGTCCAGTTGCGGTTGAGGCATATTGGTATTTTAATTATACTGATTATGTTTTAGTTGCGGTCCAGAGTTCTCACATTTTTGCACGTTGAATGACTGTTTTATGTTGTGAAGCTCATAAATATTTTCTGCAACAATCGATGCAGATGCACATTCAAGGAGGGCGATACCTACACTGCAAGTTTTAATAGAAAATGTCCGCTAGTCGGTTTTTTACTGAAAGCGTTTTTATAACTTATTTCTCGTCGTTCTGCATATTAAATCTAAGTTAGAAATTCTACAGTGCTACACTCATAAAGACAGCGTATTTATGGTGTGAGCATATAATAAACACACCCTGGTAATTGGTAGCAAACTGTTCTCCAGCTAAATCACCCTAAATGGTAAATAACAATCTCGTTACAAGATACTCTGCGAATGTTTACAAACGTGCGGAATTAATTGCGGTTACCATATGGATGGATGGCTTGCATTAGAAAAAAAATGACGAAATTTTTATGCAAATCGACTTGAGCAACACCCAGCATTTATAATTGTTATAGATAAAACAGGCGCCAACCGATAATGCGCTACGGGCACAGTTTGCGCAATATTTTGCGCTCAAGTCTGGTCTGCAATAAATAATACCTATATGGAACTATAAATGGTTGTTTAATCTTTCAAATTGACCTTCACCGGTATATTTAAATGTTACATAGATGTGTTTTTTGTTTTGAGAAATTCAAATGTTAAACAATTAAATTGTCGAGGTTAAACATGCGGGACATTTTTATTTTTCCAAAATTGGAAACAGCTATTAATAATTTCTTTTGTTCGAACCTATAACAAAAACCTTTTAATTAAAGCATGTTTAAAATTGGCAAAAAAATTATGGCTGACATTGGCTATAATAAAAATAATCTAGATGAAAAAGTCGCATTGTTTTGTTGCACATACAGCGTGTCCGGAATTGTTGGTCAACAATTATAGGGCATACAGAAGACTTGAAAATTTAAAAAAAAAAAAAAAAATGTTGACAATAAGTTTCTTTATAACTTTCTAACTTTATGTAATTTTTCTTCTGATTGGGTCTCTTTATAGAATGATGCGCCTTCAAAATTACAAGATGAAAAATTTAATTTATTCTTAATTAAACTCTCTAACAGAATAAACGTTACCCGGCTAAATTTGCCCTGAGTTTAGTGTTTGTTGAATTCCGATCGCTGCAAAAACTTTCATTTCTGTTTGAAAAACCAAGTTCTCCAAATAAAGTTTTTGCAGGACGGAAAATGAATTAATGCTAAATGTCTGCAAGTTCCAACCAAAAATGCCGTTTTTTGTTTGGATTTTAACATCAAAAGAATGCAGATGAACCATATATCTCAAAACGGTTTTCAAATTATGTTCTTTATTTAATAGCAAAGTCATCCTAAAAAAATAAGTTTGTAAATGATTAATTATTTTAAAGCTATTTTTATTTGCAATTTAACAAATGTATTTTAAATTGGAAGGCCCATATTTTCATCAGAAAGCCAGATCGGGAAGTATAGGCCTCATTTGCAGGTGTTCTGTGCGTTCTTTTAATTTTTTTCATTCTTTTCTTTCGACATTTGTTGCACTGGCTCGGAAAATTTAGTTTCCCAGTTTGTTTTTGAAGGAAGACTTTTAAGCTGGACGTGCGAAGCACATGCGTTGGTCTTCATTTTTTCGGTTTTCTTTCCCGAGGCGCTTTCACGTACGCGCTTAATGCGTCTTCAAACACACACTTTCGTTTATAATTCACCAAATTAGAAGAATTAAGTTTCACGAAAATGAACAAAAAAGAACGTATTCAACCCGTTTCATATCTAACAAAATATCGGGCTCGATATCGGGTATCCGGTCCATCGAGCGGTTCAGAGACACGGTTCTGGGCTGTTAGGAATGCCGTTGTGAATAATGTGATTTTGACATTTCTAAATAGCTTATATTTATAAGCGACGTTTCAGCTACCCCCGCTGAGGAGCTCAGTTGTAAAAATGCAGCCTTATAGACGGCCCATGGGGAGCGCAAGATAAATATGGGAGTGAGAGTGCAGGAGATTTGTTTTCGGGCCTTTTAAATGGGGCAACTTCTGAGACAACTGTCCGAGCCCCATGACGGATTGTTGTTGAAAATTAATCAGCAACATATTTGGACAGCGCCTGGAAAGAAACGAAATTATTGTAGCCGATCTCAGCTACAGCTCAAAAACGTTTTGAACAACACCAGAAGAAGTCACATTTTGAATGGTTTGTCACGTCCGTGTACGTCGATTATGGGCGTTATTTAACTGTGACCTACTAGTGTTGATTTGACGTGATCATCACATTCACATGCACTGTTTTCGTGTCGCAATTTCATACTTAAACGTCGACTGCTGTATGAAAATGTGTTTAATAATGAATAATTTACCTATAACGAAACATCGATCTAAAATCTAGTAAAGTCAGGTAATGCAGCGTCTATTGTGCTTTCAATGCCGACTTCGTCTCGTCCCCTGATGATTCTGAACAATCCATTTTCTCCCCAGCGTTCGTTCCAAGAGTTCGCTACCAGCCAGTACTTGACACCGTCCTCAACTCCCCATCCAAGGATCTTGACCGCGTGACCGCCTTCGTACTCATCAGTGGTAAGTTGATAGATTCCTGGTATTCAGCTATTAGAAATTGTTAAGTTACGGCCCGAACTGGTGCTTACCACTTTGGTATTGGGCAAAGTCCACATAAACGTCCATGGTGGCTTCCACGGGTCCGTTGGTCATAATTTCGTATTGGATCTGTTCCTCTCCTTGAATCTCGTATGGTGTTTGACCGTAAGTTTCTTGGGCCTTGTAGTACAGCGACGGCTCGTCGCACTGCTCAACGCAAGCGGGAGTGCTCACATAGTCTCTGCATTTGTTGGGATGGTCGTCACAACCTTCCAAAAAGTACGATTTGCATCCCTAATGGAAGATGGATAAAAACAATTTCGTTAGAATGAGCTGTAGAACTGTTTTCAACATCGTCATTCCCAAATCGTTTATGGATGTTTATATAAAGCGTTCAACCTATCGAGCTAGGAAACAACAATGTGAGAAACTGGAAGAAAATCAGTTCACAAAACAAAACTATAACATTTAGGAATGTTTTCCGGGCTTTGAAGCCGTGGTCTATCGGAATTTCTTCCTGACGTTTCGTCCACAACTGCGGTGGACATTTTCAAAGGCGA